GAGCCCTCGGCGACGCCTCCTCGCGTCGCGTGCCCGTGCGTGGCGACCGCACCGCCGGCAGAGCTCGAGTGGCCCTCCACGCCACCCCGAGACTGCCCGGCGATGGTGCTTTCGCCGCCGTGCCTTGCCGCCGCTGCCTCGCAGCGGCTCTGTGCCTCGGCGCCGAGCCGAGACATGCCAGGCGGCGTGATGCCGCCCCAGCAAATCCTGTCGTCCGCAGCGTCAAGACTAACTTGAGCAAGTATTGGCTCTGCCTCCACATCGCAGTCGCTCCAACCTCTGCCAGCTCCCTTGACGCTGCTCCGTGCTGTAGCGATCTCCTTGAGAGATCCGCTAAGCCCATGCGTTGCGGCCTCTTTACCGTCAGCGTGTTCCAGCCTACCAGAATCACGTATCGGAACCACTTCCCGACGACGAATATGGTTGACGCTCGAACACGTTGCTGTTGCTTCTGGAGGTGGCCTTCCACCCCCGTGCCAACCCCTTCCAACCCCAACAAAACACCGACAGACGAGAGAAGAGGCCACAAAACAGACAAGCAGAATGGCAAGAGAGAGACGCTCTGCAGGCGAGCCCACGGGCCTCTTGGGCCCTCGCGTCTCTCTCTCTCGATTCGTTACACCGATTCGACCATCAATGGGCGGGCCGATTTCGACCCATCACAAATGTGGGAAGCCATTAACCTCCCTTGGCTTCCCACACAAACCCCCCTTCATGGGGGGAGCAGCAAATGAGGTAGTCTCTGCGAAATCACTGTCCCAGTGAATTCGCCCTAGACGCCTCCGTGTGGACTCGCAGCTCCGGCTGGATGTCGGCGACCTAAAGCTCGGCGGTCGTCGCTTCGCGCCGGCCGACTCCCTGTCCTTTTTACCCATCTCCTACTAGAGCCGTAGAGGTGTCCGTTTTATTTATTTATTTAAGGTCCCTCGGGCCAGTTGAGGGGGAAAACCCAGCCCGCCCCCTAGAGCTCCAGGTAAGGCCCAGGTGTGGCCTAGGGCATCAGAAGCGACCAAGAGGAGTCCAGTCTGAGCCATAGAGCCCATGTCTTTGCCCCCGAAGGTCGCGTTCAAATGCCCGGAACGGCCGTCTCAGTGGTGTCCGGCCGGCGCGATCACCGAGCTGTGACGCTCAGGGAAGCCTGATGAGGTACTGGTTTCTTTGCCCAGGGCTGGCCTACGGCCCGTGCTGGATCAGCTGAGCAAGGTTTGGGGAGAATCCCCCGGTCAGATCTTCAGATATTTTGATGGATGACCAAAATCACCCCGTTTTGCCCATTCCGTCT